GGTTGCATGTCTCGCATGTCATGACCAGGGAAAAACACTTGGAGAATTGTTTACACAGGAGCGGCACCCAGCGCCTTCAGGTTTTTCGAGTAATAGATAGACTACGTTTTCGAGGTCAGTGTTTTCAAGGTCTGAGTTTTCGAGGTCTGCGTTTTCGCGGTCTGCTTTGAGGTCAACTGGACATCAAGCAGGAACCCCTGGCATTAACAAGAAATTTGATCAGGTTGCGTAATAGAACATTTTGCCTCCATACCTGGAAAACCGACCACATTCTGCCTTGACAAGTGTTGATAAATCTCAAACAAAGCACCTGCTACTGTACCATTTTCGGAGGGCGAAAAACGAAATTTTTCTGTAAAATTGGGAAAAACACCCAACTACTGTAAAATATTGACTGCACAATTTAATGGCCTTTATGGCGTGGCCTCAAGCGTTAAAATCAGACGAAAAACATATTTTCTTCCCGGCACCGCATGGCGCACCGCGGTGTCATGTTACTCTTTCCATTCTGTCAATTACACATCAGATGAAAGGTTTAGGATTACTTACCTTCATACGGATCCTGTTTTCGAAGTGTGTCTGCTTCCTGACTTCAGGTTATTTTCGAAATGTCGTCGTCGGAAAACTCACCTGAGCCTGGCACCGGTAGTGCTGCACGTGCTCTCACGTATTCAGAAATCGTGCAAGGAATATCTGCGCCTTTGGACAATTAGCAATTGGTTCATACGTCAGCGTGCGTTCATCGAGATATGAAGCACACGGCAAGTTTGGAGAGCACGAAAGATGCGTAACAGTTGCTCTTCTTCTGTCGGCAAATTTTGTAAATAAATAAATAAAAGAAAATAACCTAAAGTCAGGAAGCAGACACACTTCGAAAACAGGATGCGTATGAAGGTGCGCCTTGCGGTGCCAGGAAGAAAATATGTTTTTCGTCTGATCTTAACGCTCGAGGCCACGCAATAAAGGCCATTAAATTGTGCAGTCAATATTTCACAGCAGTCGGGTGTTTTGCCCAATTTTACAGAATAATTTCGTTTTTCGCCCTCCGAAAATGGTACAGTATTAGATGCTTTGTTTGAGATTTATCAACACTTGTCAAGGCACAATGTGGTCGGTTTTCCAGGCATGCCCAATAACCGTGAGAACAAAGGCTTTTACCGAAAAACCGCATGCTGGATCGACACCGAGTAATCTTTTCTAGAGATGTTTCTCCCGCACGAACAGGGTAGTCTGCTCACGAAAGTTGTAATGTTTGAAATTATATTCCCAATCTAACAACAATTGTCGGGTGAAGGAACAGTATGTTTTTTTGAAGCATCTGGTTTTTCAATCCAAAACGAGTCGGAAACGTAGTTATGTCGTTCAACTTCCAGAATCCAGAATAGGTCGCACGCCGGTTAGTAACGCTTGAGGCCACGCAATAAAGGCAATTATTGTGCAGTCACTATTTTACAGCAGTGACGTGTTTTGCCCAAATTTACAGAATAACTTCGTTTTTCGCCATCCGAAATGGTGCAGTAATCTGTTATTTCTTATCACGCGGTTAAGTAGGATGTTACGCAACGCTCCTCCAAAGACCACGGGGG